CTTCAACTACCAGAATTCCTCAGCCAGAGAATGCTGGCTGGGAAATTCTGGGAGTTGAAGTCCGGACATCTTCAAGTTGCCAAGGTTGAGAAACACTGCACTAATGTGTTTGTGGTAGGGGTAGGAGCATTTTCTGATTCACAGCTCACTTTCTGTGGTACACCAAAAGAGCAATGAAACACACTTCCACAGACTCAATATTAATCCACCTGCTTTCCTTCGCGAGGCCTTTACAATCCGCAACGCCGTACTTTTAAGTATCAATCCAGGGGCGGAAAAGTACCTCAGTTCACCTAGGCACATTCTTGCGTATGTGTTCTGATTCACGTGAGATTTCCAAAGGGATTATGGGTGGAATGGCCAAATCTCACCACCATCGGGGATCCAGTCTTTCATTTCACAACGCAGAGCATGAGCAAGAGGACGCAGCCAATGTGAGGTGTGTCGAGACAAGCTTGCAAGAGCATCCAGTTGTTGTGCAAGAGCTAAATTTGCAGGGGAAACGCACTCACCCAGTAATGCTTTCAAAGACATAGTCTTCAGAATTGACATTGGCCATCCGAAGATTCAGTTCGGAAGGGAAAAAAACCTGTAGGTAATTCATAAGGATTTCAGACAAACAGTCATTTTTAAATAGCACTACGGCACTAAATCTCTCATCAATAGACTATTTGCTGACACCCAAAATTCAGATGCAAAACAAGCTTAGTCTAGAACCAAGGTGACCCATGTATGACACAAATATAATTGGTTCACATTCAAGGTGAGTGACCCATATTTTCCTGTAAGGTGAGCCATGTTCTCTTGCGAGCAATTTCTACAGAAGTTGCTTTTGTTTTAAATTTAGAATTATTTACCCATATCCAGCCTGGAAGAAAATCTTCTATTTCTAATCCACTGGACTGAAATTTCAGGTTTACATAAGAATTAAATAGGAACTTGATATCCATGGTACAGATTAGTGAGTACACTCAAAATCATAGGGGGAAAAGAGGAGGAATGTCATTGTTATTTATTCTCAGAGCTGGGGTAAGACTCTGCTTCTAAAGATGGTCAACATTCAAGTAGCCAAGTTCTAAGATCTGCATTTTTAATCGTTTTCCAACATAATCTCATTGTGTTTACTCAGAATCTAAAGTGATTATTACATGAATATCTATAGCAGAGTCTGGACAATGAACAGGAACAAAAGGGGGACATCAAACTTCTTATAATTATTCCCATCTATTATTTTGTTAACAAAAAAAATCTGTTTTATTGTTTTCATTATTTGTACAGTCATAATTTGCAACTGTAAGAACTCGTTTTCATAATTCTCTGGAAGGCCAATTGTCTACCCAAGATCACGTTCCAATGTTACGTTATACAGCTTTTCTTATAGCAATAGCAGTTAGACTTATATACCGCTTCATAGGGCTTTCAGCCCTCTCTAAGCGGTTTACAGAGTCAGCATATCGCCCCCAACAAC